ATAATTTGCTGCCGCTTAAAAAATGAAACAATGTTCAGATTTTATAACTGGCAGATCTGCAAAGGTTTCAACTAATGACAGAGAAAGTAGAAAAGAGAAAGTGTGTGACTTTGTTCCATTTTCAAAAAGGAGCTGTAGTTCTTCTCCTGTGCCGCTCTTTGGCACAGGAGGGAGAGCTGCAGAAAGCTCTCGGTTTATGTGTCTGTCAGTGTCACATCTTTTCAGGATCACGGTTCAAGGCAAACAGCAGGGATAAAGGGGGACAGGAGGGGAACTGGTACACAGCTGAGAGGAGGGCTGGTAGGTCAAAGCACCTTTTGCAAAGTTGATTTTTTTGTCTTTTTTTGCAGAATGAACAAAAATAAAATTGAGTGTATAACGATGAAATACAAGAAGAAAAACAGAAGTAGCCCATTTCTCTCAAGTAAATACTTCAAAAGCATAAATACAATGTTAGTGCTACTGAATCCAGTGTGATGTCATATTTCATTAAAGTTCATAAAAAATCCTATAAGTTCATTTCTTTTGTGTCAAATGACACAATAGGAATGACATTGATTTCAAAACAAGTCATCCAATGAAAAAAGGTGCACAGTTAAAGACATACTGCCAATTTTTACCAGCTTAGGCCATGAGTACACTACTCTGATACAGCTTTCAATCAACAATTTTTGTTCATATCAAGAAAAAAGTCTTTAACGACTTGAACAAAAATGCTCTAACACTAAAGTTGTGCCAGAAGGAGACATAAATAAAAACATTAACATCATGTCAAAATAAAGTAAAGAATCTTCCAATACAATTATAGCTCTTTGATTTTTCTGTTGGATCTTTAAACTTTTCATCTCATGTTAGAAGTTTAATTCCAAAATCTAACCAGGTTGAGTGAGGCCCTCTGGATGGGTTCTTCTTTGTTGAAACATTTCATTTATCCTCCAAGAGACTTCTTCAGTCTGAGGAGCCACAGGTAAACTCAGCCTTATAAGCAGTGCCTCCACATGGTGGCTCAAAAAGTGTGCCGGTGACGACCGAAACTGGTTGTTCACATGCAAAAGTAGACCATCAGCCTAACAACCAAACATTAGTGTCCTGATGGACGATTGTTGTTCATCATCCTTATCACGTATGAGAACATCTTCCACCCTGAAAGAGTGACTGCTGACCTGCAGATCAGTGTAAACATCAGCAGTGTTGGGCCATCTTTTTAACTCCAACAGAACAAGTGTAGAAAAGGTGCAAATACATTTTTAAAAAAGTCTGTTTTGTAAAATATGTCAGTGTAGACAGTATTAGATTTAAGAGATCACAGTCTGCTCTGAGTATTTGATGGCGATGACTCAGCTACACCAATATTTAGCTCAAGAGCTGTAAAACTGACTGAGTTATAGCAATTATTGTCTGATAAGGTGATGTGCTGCTGTAGATGTCTTGATTTAGACTCCAGATGTTAATCACTTGTAGATGCAACCGTTACTTTTTTTTTTTAGTTTTTTAGAGTTTTAATAAAATCTGTGCAGTGGTACGTGAAATATTTTGATTGACAAAAAACCCTCACACACTCGAGGTACATCTTTCAAGGCAACTGGCAATAAAAAAATATATAAAAAAAACTATTCACTACAAAACGAGGTCAGCTGACCTTCTGAGACTCACAACAATCTCTGGGGTCTCGGGGTACCCTGCAGGTCATGTTCATCTACCTGCCTTCTGTGTGAAGTTCACTGCTTCAAAGAGGCCTCACTCACTGTACTTTTCATTTAAAAGGCTTTTGCCTTAACCTGTTCTGTTCCCATCCACCTGCACAAGAGCTGCCTACTGAGATAAAAAGAAATCAAACAGGAAGTAGAGTCCTCATTTATAAATATAACTACAGTAGTTTTCACAGATTTGTCCTTATGTTTTGGGACATTGAGAATGGCACTGTTTTTGTTTTTACTTAGTAATAAAAGAAAAACTGTTAATATTAATTATTATTGTATTAGTTCTGCAAGTCGACATAACTGATTACATCGATTATAAAAATGATTTGGCATGGATTTTTAATGTCAACCACGTAAATGTTCATTTGTAACTACAATGCAATGCATGAACGGCTGAGAAGTGCTTCCATTGTTTGTGGTTGCATAGTTTACTAAAAAAGAACGTTCCGGTCTGCAAAACCACAGAAAAAGAAGGCACAGACAGGTTATATCAATGGGCGGTAGGATGTCGAAACAGAAAGAGGAACATGAAGARGCAAAAGRAAAAACAAGACCAGGGGTYAGATTTATAAAGCTKGYGTAYGCACAAAACAAGCCCAGAAACTTGCGTRCGCCACTTTTCACGCCAAGGTTGTGATTTATAAAATCCAAACTTGACGTGAAAATGTGTGGTTCCTCACRCCAGCTCTGACCCATGYGTACGCTCATTTTGGAGACGKGAAACTGCGACACAGATGGTGAAGTGARGAATTAGAGCCACACTGYGTMATGATCACKGTCAGATATTTAATTTACCTTCATAATCAGACTTAGATTTTTATTCAGCTTTATCATCAGCTTTCTTAACGGTAATATTTATACTTCCGCTGCTGAGCCATAAGGACCTTTGAGATAAAAACCTTAAATCTTAAATAAAAATTCACGCATCTCCTTCCTCCTCACGACCCTGACCCACAGACCCCTCCCTGACCCACAGACCCCACCCTGACCCACAGACCCCTCCCTGACCCACAGAGCCCTGCCCAACAAGAGACATTTTGACAGCACGACAGCAAAATGCTCAGTTATAGTCAGGCTTTGGGTGCGCACGCCCTCGCCAGCGTGGATGTGTTATAAAAGATTCACTTTTTAATGTCCGTATTCCTCACGTGCGCGGGGTGGGGGTGGGGGATGAGGAGACCGTCAGCCGCAGATAACAGCAGGCAGGAGGGGGAGGACGGGGGAGAGGAGCGGTGAACTTAACTTTATCTGACTTATTTAATTTTATTTTTTGATTTTATTGTCCTGCAGGCTCTGAGAGAAAATTAACTTGAAGCTGAGTTTTTGATAAAAATCATTWGATTGCTCTAAACATCTGTAAACCTGCAAAATGAGGGAAAATCTGTGTAAATTATAGACAATCTGTTCACGTGAGCAGCTGTCAGCACCTGTCAACCTCCAGACGCACGACGGAGCGTGTCTGAGTGAATCGCTTTTTTTGACATTGATCAGCTGACTGATTTAAATACTGTACGTCTTAAAATTCATAAGGTACTTTGCATTGACTGTTTATGGTTGAGTGTGGGCGTGTAGAGGGTAGAACCTGAGGTGGGACCTTGTGCGCAAACTCTGACGTGACGCCGTGATCTATAAAGGAAGGGTGTGCAGAAACATGCGTACGCACGGTTTTATAAATCAGAATTTTTTTGGGAGGCGTACGCCATTTTCGCCTTTTGGCCGTACGTTCACTTTTCGTATGATTTACATGCAATCTTTTGTAAATCTAACCCCAGAACTTTCAAAAGTTGACTACATTTTCCTGAAAATACACCAAAGAAAGTAAAATGCAGATTCAGTTACTGACTTACTCATGCTAAAGCCAACTGTCTATAATTTTTGTTAGTTTACCTATTAGAACACAAAGTTTATTGTAAGTGGACGCCATCATTTACAATATCATTAGCTAATGCACTAAGTGTCATAGTAAATCAGTGAGTTATTGTAGTACTTCATCCTATCTCTTCTCTAGTTTCCCTTTTTATCTTTTTTTTTCCATTAAAGTCTTATTTAAACTTTTGGACTGCCAGATCTAGCACAATTTCAAACAGAATGGTTTTTTTTTTACTTTTATGTTCCTGAATGTCATTTTAACCAAAGTTATTTTTTATTTAATTAGGGCTTGCCATTTCAAATGAATAAGAGTGCAGAAGAATGCATTGCGTTGGACGTTTTGACAGAAATATTTGTGACTAATCAAAATAAATGAGCAAATTAGTGAACTGTTAAGATAATCATAAGGTGCAGCCATAAAATATAAAATAAGATCAGAAATGAGTTTACTAATGTTGGACCCTGTTRGGAAGTGTTCTTCACTCGATATGTTCACTTAGGTAAATAAAACAACTTGCAAGTAAAATGTTCCACTGCTATCAAGTACTGTCAATGGTATAAACACAAAAAGTGAAATTTATATCTCTTGATTTAACTTAAGAGCAACAACTGCCTCCTTTTCTGCCTTCTAAACTGCAAACTAAGCAAGCAAAATCCCACAAAAACATAAGGGTGCGGGGAAGCCATTGATCCTAAAGTCGCCTGAAAATGTATTTGCAGAGCAGATCGCGTTGTGCAGATCTCCGATAATTTTCTTTTAAAACAGCAACCACCCACAGGCTTCTAAAACTCCAGCTGGCAAGCAATCCTGAGGAGAACAGATTCTTCCCCAGCAGGGGCCACAGGGATGCAGCGGGAAAGAGTAAAAGAAGCTCATTCTGYTGATTAAATTTAGTTGATTTAGCTGCTTGGCTTCTCCTGGGTGACTTGGAGCGTGCACGTTATCAGCTATTAAATGGCATGTCTTTACTGAGATGCTTCCTTTTTGTTTCAGACTACTTTTTTCTGCACAAAGACTGTACGCTTCACATGCTGACTTCAGTTCTAGAAGCATCTCGACTTTTTTACTAATTGTTCAACACCGCTAACATTACAAACTGTTAAAAATGTAATTCAAGTTTGTCTTGTGGATTTAGATTTTATATTTTATCTTTCTGAAGATAGTCTGAGTTGGGAAGGTAGGACGATCATTTTGACCCTGACTGTAAATATTTGTTGTCATTTACATTCTTAGCAGACATTATCAGAATCAAGGACAGAGCTGTTCTCAAGTCATTTTGTGCAACTATGAATTTGCATTTTTGGGAGTGTTTTTGAGCGAGGTTGCCAAAATTGTTCTTTTGTATATGACTACTCATTTTGAAACGATTTTATAAAGGACATCTGCCAAAAGCAATCTTAGAAATTAAAAAAAAGTCTTCCTGCACTTACTCATAGACTTGTAGCTTGTAGCACTGGCCGCTCAAAAACAGAAACTCCCAATCAGTTCCATAATCTATGTCCAGCTTCTTTTGCAGATCACTGAAAAAACAAACAAACAAAAACAAACAAAAAAAAGACTCAAAGTGGATTAGGGGTTCACTTTTAACATAATCACAATTTTGTATACAGGATGAGTCAAAAGTGTCAGAAAAGAAGGGGAAAATGAATCTGAATACTGGATATATCTCAAACACGGCTGCCATATAGTATCAATGTCATTTTTTCCCCAATAGGTGTTTGGTCATTTAGCATATCACAGAAGAYCTGAATTGTTTAATTACCATTAAATATKTTAAAACAGGCAAAGTTCCCTGTTATTGTTGCAACTTTCCGTGCTGATAACCTTTGAAACACAAGAGATATTGCAAATCTGATTGCAGCAATTTATTTCTGAGGGGTTCTGTTCTCTGATACGCTAAAAGACTACTTTCCCATTAGAAAAATCTGACCTTGATCCAATATGATGTCTTTCAAGATGTTCGTGTCCATGTTCTGGATATAGTCAAGTAGGGGTCTCTGCAGAACGTGTTGTCCTGTGGGCGGAGACAACCCAAATCGTCATTGGCCGAGGTCTTAATGTGGGCGGAGACGTCCCTTTTCGTGATTGGCGGAGGTCTTGATGTGGGCAGAGATGGCCTGAGAAGTGATTGGTCGGATTGACAGTGGGGGTTTGAGGCTGGAGGCAGCGGGGAGTAGCTTGATTGAGTCGGGCAGGAAGCAACATGTTTTTTTTTTATTAATTTTAGTCATAACTTGAGAAAGGAAAATGCTATATGCATGAAATTTGAACGTCGTACATGTGAAAGGATGTGTAACAATGTGGCTTGGTTAAAACACCCCTTAAAAAGATATTGATTTTTAGCAATCTTTGTACAGGTTGGTTAGGGATGTTTTAACCAAGCCATACTGTTACACATCCTTTCACATGCATGACATTCAAATTTCATGCAGATAGCATTTTTCTTTCTCAAGTTATGACTAAAATTAATTTTTAAAACATGTTGCTTCCTGCCCGACTCGATCAAGCTACTCACCGCTGCCTCCAGCCTCCTCAAACCCCACCGTCAATCCGACCAATCACGTCTCGGGCCATCTCAGCCCACATCGTAACCTCCGCCAATCACGTCTCGGGCCATCTCAGCCCAAATCAAGACCTCCGCCAATCACGAGCAGGGACGTCTCCACCCACAGGACAAAACCTACTGCAGAGACCCATTACTTGATATAGACTAAAGCAGTGTTTCCCAAAGTTGGGGTCGGGACCCAAAATGGGGTCCCGAAACATCAAGGTGGGGACCTGAAAAGATTTTCTGAATTAATTACATTTTTRCCBTAGTTGTTACAAAGGAGTGAGRTTAGTRTATTTAAAATGGATAAATGTAGTWTAAAAATATTGTTACTATGCCCATGTTTWGTTGACCTGATACAAATGTTTATCATCCAAAAATAGTTGGGGGCACAGGTCTCTGCTACTGTTATTTTGTGGGTCAAAAGCTGAAAAGTTTGGGAACCACTGMACTTTGGTTCCCAAAGTTGGGCTTGGGACCCAATTATGGGTCATGAAGCACCTTGGATAATCCCCAGAAATCAATTTAAAGGGTAATAAAATAATTGCTGATGTAATTTTTTCCCTATAACTATTACAAAAACACAAAATAAGTATAAATAAGTATTTATATTTGTGTAAAAGCTGTTTCGATTGTCAAAAAGCTTGTGTTTTTAGGGTTATTAACGAAGTTCATGTACTCAGAACAGTAATATTTGGGGTCACAAGTTTTTGCCATGAATATTTTGTGGGTCAGAAGAAAAAAAGTTTGGGAACTACTGGTCTAAAGGATATCCCCACTCACTCATGACTTGCTGGAGGGTTCGTATTTTTTTTAACAAAAGAGTGTCCCGAGACTTTTTGCTCACCATGTATGCGTTATGGGTTCAACAGTTTTCTCAAGCACAACACTTTTCAAACCTAAGTTCTGCAATAACATTTTGAGGGCAAATTATTGCATTTATTTTGGGAGGTATTTTTATAGATGCCTAGACCCTGGGAGGCCCAGGTCCCCATCTTGACTGACATGCCCCACACTTTTCTTTTTCATTGTGCCGTTGAGTTTTGAGGAACTCTAATCTGTACAGTTTTAGTGAAAAATGAAAAACAAAACTTAAGGCACACACTCTTTATTGTGTTAGACTGTTTTAGTAACTTTTGGGTGACTCAGAACATCTCTAACAGTGTAGCTCTATTTTCCCTTTTTACCAGCAAAGAAATAAAGCCAATTTTTGAATAGTGTGTTGATTAGGTGGCCCTTTAAAGCCCATTTCTATGCCATATCTTCAATTATCTGAGCTGGTTTTCCTCACTAATGGCAGATAAGGCAAGTGGACCCTATCTCTAGCGGTGCACAAACCCTCATTTCCATATTTATAACCCAGAATTGCGTACGGGGTTAACAAATGTTTAGGGAGAGTGACCGTTACGCTCGAGGTTGATAAGGCATGGCGGTTTTTTGGGGGTGGGGGTGAATCGGGGTTAGAAAAGCAATGTGAGTGTGTGATCCCTATTAAGGCCAGAGGTCATGACATTAATGCACCGAGCCATTTTATTGTGTAAATTGTCTGCAACACAAGCTGAATGAATTAAGAGGAAGAGCTCCAATTTATTCTTCTAAGAAAATATATAAATGCACACACCAATATTTATATAATCATTAAGGACCCAGGATTAAGTACACCACTGCAGGGGAAACTACAACTAATAATTTAGCACATTAACTAATTTGATTAAAAAKGATTAGAGCAAGCTAGAAAAAATATTGCCACCTACAAGCATGGTATATGTACTTGACCATTTTGGTCAAAATTATTACTCAGTTTGGTTGAAGATTTTTATTTTTCAAACTTTAGAAAAATGTGTTTAAAATAAATTTGGTAATTGTGTAGTGGGGCTTACGAGTTTCTGACGTAGCTCTTGTTTTTGGTCTTGTTCAGAGTTTCTTTCATGATTTGTAGTACTTGTTTTATGATGAAGAAAGTTTTCATTTCTTTTGGCCTAAGGCTAACTTTTGGTCAATCATTATTCGAATTACACTACTCACAAAAAGCCAGTGATATTTGGTAGAGGTGTCACAATGCAAACAAATTGATAAATCGTATTGTGACAAAGCTGGTGATTTTACACCCCTAATATTTGCAGAACTTATGTTGATTAATTGTTAGGTGTCACCTTGGTCTCATGATGTCAAAATGTGAACAGCATGATGAGGATGACTGTCCATCTACATATCCATCTGTCCACCTACCCACTCAGCCAACTAGTTGGTAATATGAGGTAACTTTTCTGAATTAGAACTGAATAATGAGCATTCCTCACTAATTTGAGCCATGACTGTTTTTAAAATTGCTACAAACACCTTGAGATACCTCACACCTAAGCTGGCACTCCTCTGCTCTAAGTACGTTGAGATGAGGCTTACCCAGCAGAGAACAGTAGGCAGCCAATAGCGTTTGTTTTTCTTCATTAAAATTAGCCTCAGGTATCACAGAGTACAAATCCATTACGGTGCAGCTTTCCACACCACTTTAGCACAGAAGGATGGAGTCTATTTTTAAGTCCTACTAAGATATCATGACATCCTGCTTACAGTAGCTAAGTAGGGAAGCAAATGCATAATCTGCACAAAGTGCACAGTGTTCAAGATTTAACCACAAACGTGACAACATAAGCCAACCTCTTTCTTTAATTCTTTATTTTCATCTTACCTTATTTCCAAGTTGATTGTCTCGTAGGCTTCTTCCACCTTCTTCAGATTGGTCGCCTCCCACTCGGCAGCTAGACAAAACAAAAGGTCAGACAAATTAACAATGTAGTCTTGTTGCAACYCAACAGATACGTGCTGCCAAACAGCGGTCTCTTAATACGATCTGTTCCAGGATGGTGAGAGAAACGAKGCTGCACATGAACACAAACCGCTATTTTCAGGTATTGTTAAAAGCAGACTGGCAGGCTTGTTAGCCTCTTCACACTGAAAATTGCGTTAAGTGAGACAAAGACAAACAAAGTCATAGGGAGTGTGAGTGCAACAAAGGCGCAACAATTACTGTACTTGGTTTCGTATAACTGTCACTTTCACATGTACTGTACATAATTTACATACATTTATCTGGTGATCATCTAAAGCAATTGAATAGAGAACATTGTATGGGAGCGTGGAGCAATATACAGGGTGAGTCAAAAGCCTCGGCACACCTTTTTATTTCAGAAATGAAAAGGAAAATTACATTTCTGAAAACCCCAGTAAGGAATGGGTAAGGAAWCATATTTTTACCAATGTCCAGAGAATGTCTGCCATCTTGAAAGCAGCCATATTGGATCAAAATCAATTTTTTTTCCAATGGGAAGGTGGTCATTTAGCATATTAACAAAGAATCCAGACACAGTGTGTTTAGCACGTTGAACATGTCAAAAARTGTGCAACATTTCCAGTCATTGCAAATTCCTGTTTTGATAACTTTTGAACAAGAAAAAATGCAAATCTGACTGTGCTAATTGATTTCTGAGCCAATTCTGGTCTTCTTTGATATGCTAAATGACCACCTTCCCATTGGAAGAATTTGACCTTTATCTAATATGGCAGCTTCTAAAGATGGCAGCCATAGCCTAAAAGAAAGGTCCCCTCACGCATTACTTGTTGGGGTATTCTGTTATGTCATTTTCCCTTTATTTTCTGAAATAAAAGTGTGTCCTGAGACTTCTRACTYGCACTATATTTTGCAAAAGAATATTTGTGAATAATTGTTGGAAAATTGGAAATTTTGTAAAAACAATAGGTATAAAACACAAGAAAGTGAATATTAATGCAACAATTAAAGTTAATCTTCCTTGCATTTTATAAGCAAAGTGTGCCTAACAAATGTAAGAATCTCAGGCAGAAAGTGTGAACTTCAATGTGTCTAAAAACAGCAACAAGAAGAAACCATGAAAACATTATTAAATTAACATATTACACTCTTTAAAGGAATAAACTTCACCAGCTGCTTAACAGTGACACACACATTGGGTGAAAGGGGACAAAAAAATACGCCTGGTGATGTAGAATATGTATTTGTACCAAAAAGAGTTGTGGGAGTAAGAAAAGTCTCTTTACAAAAGATTTGCCAATTTTAGCCAATTAAAAAGTTKGTGTGTTTGACATAATTAACTGTCAGTTGTATGTTTTGTTAGAAACCTCCAAAAATGAGAAAACTTTAACTGTGATTGTGTTAAAAATCGAAACGGTTTCTAAAATGCCAGTTTCAATGTGTGAAGTCCAACTTTCTGTAATTCATTTAAATTTTAAACAATGTTTCTACAGTGAAGTATGCCTAAGCATTGTCCGTTCACGATTTTGTTTAAATTTTGTATATGTTGTATACATTATAACATTAAAAAAAGTCATTGCACAAGATATAAGACCAAAGCTTTAAACACAAGCTTTATAAGAATGCCACTGAACAATGTCTTAGCCACTCCTGAATTACTTTGTTAGATTCCACAAATGTTCAACTGTAAAGTGATGACAAACTTTTCAACAACAGTGAGAAAAACAGGTCAAAGTGATTAATTTGAGAAGTAAACAACTRAATTATTGCTTAATTGAAAAAGCGCAGATACAGTGTTACTGGGTTACATTCTCTTCATTAACAGTGACATTTGATTTATGTGATATTTTGTGAAGCTGATGCCATGGTAAAAAGCATATCAGAATATGTTTGTGTCTGCACCATGTCCACTGCTGAATGCAAATAAAAGAGCTGAAGGTGAAAAAAAGGTGGTAGAAAATAGATGAGAAGACAGGCTGAAAAAGACTCCAATTTAACCGCCCGCCTCTGACGGACATGTGGATTTACTGAGGTTCCTGAAAGTGGACAGGTTCGTCTCTGACGTCGGCGTAACTCTCACCGGGGCCTGGCGCCGTGGCAACAGAAAGCTGTGTGTGTGTGGTGATGACCAAGTGGGAAGCTGTGACAGCACTGGCCTGAATACCAATTATCATGTTCCTTGCATTGTACAATTCCTCAAATACAGTACCTATTTCTTTGCTAAACCTAGTACAGATGTAGAGCATCCAACAGTGAAGCTGCAGTGTAAAGGCTATTTTAGTAGCACAGAGAAGGGCAGAAATCTTCATGAGCCACTCCCAAACCTCACAAAAAATAAAAAAATAAATAAAWAATCCAGTCTCACACAAACAYGTTCTCTCCAGTCTTGTTCCCCGCACACACACATACACACAGAAATCATTGAGCTCAGCAATGACAAAAGCAGACACAGAGTCCCATGTGGGTGACATTTGACCCATAGCTGCAGCCCAGTTGTATATGGAGAGAGTGGTGATGGTGAGAAGAGGGGAGGCGGTGAGCCGAAGAGAAGGAAGAGCAGCCAGGCGTGCAGAAGTACCCAGAGCAGGGAACACAGGGCGAGTACAGCCTCGCCAATGGTCTCTGCACCAGTCCAGCCCTATGATAACCCAAAGCCAATATATTATACCAACAAGGAGCTCTAATGACTGATTTACTACATTATCAATTGTATAATCAGTGTATTTTCTAGCATTAAAATCACACCAACACTGGCTAATGTTAATGCCAGAGCCATAAAAGCCAACTCATAAGGTTTGCTTTAATGTAATATCAATGATGATCTTAAGAAATCAGGAAAGCAAATATATTTTTGGCCAAACAATCTGCTAAATTTTAAAAGAGAGAAAAAAATCCAACAACAGTGAATTAAGGAATTTAGGCCAAATCTTAGAGCAGAATAATTTCAAGTCAACAATAATAAAAGTGCCTGATTTCCATAAGCAGAGGTCAAAATCCATTTACTAACCCTAACCTTWGGTCTTGATTTCAAAGTCACAAAGACTAGAAGAAAAAAAGAAAGAAAAAAAAGACTAGTACTGTAGCTGTTGTGATATGGGACACTCATTTAGTAAGTTGATCATCAATTGTTGATTTAATTTATTCATAAACAGGCATGATGTCAATTTACAAGGGCAAACTATAGTGATCAAGCCATCAAGTTTGATATACCAAATATAAAACAATGAAATACATTTAAATAGACAACATGGATGACGATACAGATGCTGAAATCAACGTTTTTTAATGCTTGCTACTAATAATACTACATGTACAGTAACATGTTAGTGTACATCAAATGATATGTTTTTTGAACAATAAAAATATGTTGCATRAAATTGAAAAATGAGTTTCCCAGGTTTTCCACCTCCTTGGGTTTCCTTATGGCACATGTCAAACTTGACAACATGACAAATGTGGCCCACGAAAGGGAACCTATAACTAGGTGGAGGAGCACAGGGTTCAAAAGGAGCCGGCARTCATTGAAATTTRGCATRTAAAATCTCYATTACMCTGCATTTTCGCTGGAAATTTCCCATTTAYAAGTTGTAAATTTAAACTGGAATGCCCCTACAGTGTCCAATGCCCTTCCCTGTCGGAAAGTGTTAGTTCAGAATTCAAGATGGCAGCTACTTACCACAACTCAGTGCATAAAGCCAATCATAAAAAAACATCTTTTAGTTTTAATACTATTTCTATACAGTTTACTTAGTTGTAAAAATAGTACTTTTGGTGTTTGTAAGCAGACGTGTTAAAATGCTGTTTCTATGCACAAAAACAACATTACTGCTTGTTAGCAGTGCTCAGCTAGAGTGAGAAGAGGAACGTGATGACCAATCATGTTGCCCTCGGTGAAGATTAGTTTGACTCCCCTATCTTATAGAGTCTAGTATCTCYTTAAAAGTTGATGGTTTGTAACAGCAAAAATCCCAGTCCTTAAGAGAATTGGGACACCCTTACCCCTCAGAGTATATATGCAAAACATAAAGGGGCAATGGCTAAAATAAAAATTAAATGGGGATGATTTAGTATTGTCTTATGGTGCTTAGATTAGTCTAATGCTGGTTATTTTTAAAATTGACAAAAATTGCCTTCTTCCGTTGGTCAACACGCTATTGGTCAATCTTTTGGTAATGATTAACTTTCACATAAATGATAATAACGAAAATAAACACTTTCCTTACAGTTTAGGCACCTTCATATGAAAAATGTAGGACAAATGATTTCATGCTCAAACTAAGCTGACCCATGGACAGTTTTCTCATCAGAAGGTAACAGCACTTTACGAGAAGCTATCCAGAGAGTTGGTAAATCACAGAGGCTGTGTACTAAAATAGAAAAGGAGGAACACGCTGTATGCGCCGTCTCCTCCTGCCAGAACTCTCCTGTGTATACATACCTTGAGCCAGAGACCAAAGATACTCTGTTTACATGCGCGTGGATCAATAGCCAAGATAATTCCTCTGCAGCTCTAAGAAAAGCAGCCTGAGAGACAGTGAAATGTGCTTAACAAAACAACGCCGATGCAGCAAGGCCACCCTCGATCCCGACACTCACACAAGCAACACGCACCTTCGGCGAGAGGACGCCGACCGCCATGTAGGAGGGTGGTGGTTTGTTGCCTGTTATTTCAGAGTCTTCTCGTTTAAAATAAAGGCTGCGTGCTAAATGCTGCCAAGCTGATTCCTGTCGATTCTAAACACTTGAGCTTTTTTACTGTTTTCTTGTCGACATTATTTTTCCTTTGTTTCAATATTTGCAGCCGGAGTTGATAAGCGTCTCATGGGCAGCCTCACCTCCCTTTTTCAAGTTTTATTTTTCTCATTAGCTCTCCTTGACTGAGGGTTTTGCTCTGACTGCAAAGTAGGGAAAAGCAAACTAAAAGTTGAGGATCAAATTATTGCAATGTTCATGGCAGGTAGAACCAATTAA